AATTTTAGGCTTAACTTTAAGATAGTATTTATACACAATTAATTACATATGTCGGCTCACTTAGCAAATTAAATAATCTTCCAACAGTCATGAGATCATTTTTATTTGTACATCATTTGATCATATGATTGCCCGGATATACTCGGAGTACATGTAATCATGAGAAGTAACAAATAAAATTTACATTAACTGATAAATAAAAAATTCGTCGACTTAAGATTTTTGAAATTGAATCTAGGTCCATGAAACCATCTGAAATTCTATTAGAGGTCAACTTCTTATTAAATTTTTTGACGATTTCCTTTGAAAGGACCTACATGCACTTAGATGTAGAATTGGGAGATCTGTAAAACAACAAAGTTTAATTGGAGACCTAAGTGCTCTAAGAGGCAATGATTAAGAACTGCAGCCGCAAATTTCTTTTTGGTGAATTTGTTACTCTTTTGTTAGTTCTTTTATAAGCCTCTATTTGACACATATTCTTTCAAAATATATTATTTTATAACTCATTTTAAACACACATTTTTCAATAAAATAATATTTTTCATCACGTCAATAACTTTTCCTTACTTTTTAACCACATATTTTACATAATATCACTATTTAAAATATATTCTTTCATCAATAATATCCATCAAACACACCCTAAGTGTTCTTGTCCTTTTCGTGAAACTGACGTGTGATGGTGGGACCGGTCTATCATAGAATATATATATAATTTTTTTTCATACAATCATAAAGCTATAGTTGCGAAGATTTTCTTTGGACCATACGGTAAAACAATATCTAATTCGTAAAGGAGTTAAACTATTTGCAAAGTGTACATGACTTTTGATAGTATTTAAGTTGGCATTAAAAAATTATCAAATAATTACAAAGTAATATACATATAGCGAAAAAGTTGTAAAATATTACATCATGGGTGTGTACCATTGCTCAGGAGTTCCGCGGACCACATGATAAAATATCTACGAGCCAGTAGCCGTAGTTTTGCAAAAAAGAAAAAACAAAATAATAATAAATAAATAAAGATAGTTAGGAGAATTAGAACACGTGCATCTTTGGCTGATTAATTAATCCATTACTTTTGAGCCCGCAGTGAGACAACTTGTCAGAATATAGAATTCGATGTTTGATTTCAAAGATAATTCCATCTAAACACTCCTATAATCGTTAGATATAGTCAAACACATTAATTTAATTATTTAATTTCAAAGATAATTAGGGTATACATAGCCCCATTTCGTGAGAAAAAAATGTATTTTTAAATAATGATTTTTGAAAAAATGTATGGTTAAAAATAAAGAATTTCTTCTTTCACTTACGTGTAATATTATTTTATTAGAATATATGTGATTGAAAAAGAGTCATCAAATCTTCAAAACCAATTCGTACTGATCATTTTGCTCGTACTGATGCTTTACTCTCCGGTACACCTGAAGCTCCCTCCTCTCCTATGGTCTCTCAAGCTCTGTATGAGACTGTTGATCGAATTCATAAGTCTACAAAGTTACCAGCGTTTAATTATTCTTGTTATTCTTCATCTTTTACTTCATTTTTA